AGGGGTCAGGAGGACTTATATGAGAGGGGAGTGACTCGTAATCCATCTTTGGAGGCCGGGCCTCACAGGTAAGTGTCGGATGACCTGGGAAAGCCTGTGGGAGGTTGCTTGGTGCTTCATAGCCTGTTGGGGGTGTGCTGGGTTTTCTTCCTCTTCTCTGCGGTCTTGGTTGTGTGTGTGAGCTTGTGGATTGCTTTCTCACCTGATGGATGGATGGATGATGTATCTACTCTAAATGRCATATCTTTCTACGGTGCATTGTCTTTTCATTTCTGAACGGCTGTAGAAGTGAGTTCTTGCTGAAAGTTGTCTTTTCCTCTTCAGTACGGTAGAGGTAGTTTGGGACCGACTTGGCACCCTATCACGTTGGTCCTGGTCCACGGCCTACTTGGGACCMCTCGGGACCCAGTGGGACCAGGCCCAACGGGACAGGACCTTTTGGCCCAGATCTGTTGCCGGTAGTGCACTTCTTTGCTGTGCTGGAWTTGGGGGACATACGGACAGCAAGGGCATTCCTTTCAAGGGGATCTTGACTGGCCTTACCGCATGTTAGCATATACTGCCCCGCGTCTGACTCGGCGACCATCTGCACCCCTCGAAATCTCCATTGCTGTAGATTAGTCTTCTTCATCTGATTTACTGTGATGTATGTCCCCTGTCAGGTTAGACAAGAGGGGATCTCCTGCTGATCTTATCGGGCCCGTTCAATAAATCAGACCTCTCTGCTGTTTTGTTTTATTTATTTTTATTTATTCTTCTGCTGCGTGCCACGTTCTGAGTCCAAATGATTCGCCGCTCCGGCCAGGAGTTCTACCTTCTTCTTTGAGTGGTTTCCTGTTTGTTTCTTCTACCTGAATTATCTATGTCCGATATCGAGACGCGTGCGCAGACAGCGAAAAGAGAGGAAAGGGAGAGACAAGGTGTGCTGTTTGAGAGTGTGAGAAGGGGCAAGAGGAGTGTTCGTCCAAACGTCAGGAGAGAGCAGACCCCTCTTGAGAGTTCTACTGACACCCCTTCCTCCGGCATGGCGAACATCACATCTGCCCAATGGCAGGCCATGCTGGATACAGCGGACGAGGGCCAAAAACCATTCTTTCAAAAACTGTATGATGATGCTGTGCAGAGAGAAAGGGAGGCAGCGGCAGCAGCTAGAGCCGCCGACATTGCTGATCAGGTGGCTCTCCGGATCCCGGAAGCTAATGCTGACCGGTTCCGGGAGGAACTAGCTGCTGCTGTAGCAGCCTTGGTCCAACTGCGGACCTTGGAAGACTTTGAGTCTCATATGACAACACTTGAGCAGCGGAACGAAGAGCTGCAGGCTAAGGTAATTAGCCTTGAACAGTCCCAGTTGTCTGCCTCCCGCCCTCCTAACCCTCGATCTGCTGTAATCTCAGTCTCTCTGCCCAACACAACCCTCGTTTCAAGGGCCAGCGGAACTGCGGTAAGTGCAGGAACCGGAGCAAGCTCCTCAAGCGGCAGCACCGGTAGTTCTGCACTGATCGCAGTCCCAAATGCAGGGACTTCAGCCCAAAACGCCAGAGTCCTTACTGGCGTTCAATACAACGGTCCCATGGTGGACAAGCGGGCGGCCACGCTGCCGTCCAAGTACGACGGGAAGGCTGACATCACCTCTTGGATTAGTTCCATGCGGTCATACTTCGAGGTCATGCGGACACCGCAAGAGGACCGAAGTATGATCATGGGAACTAATACCGAGCCTGCCGTACGAAACCACATTTAGCTCCAAGTTGTTGCTGCAGGCTATGCACGCATAGACCTGACTGATTGGCTGAAGGTCACCCCTATTCGCACCCTTGAGGATCTTCTCCTTGACCGGTATCAGGATAAACATGCTGCGCTCAAGGCTAGACTGAAGCTTGAGGCCCTCAAGGGCCAAACATGGAGGTCATCCATGCAGTCTTTGGAACAACACTTGACTGGTCTATTCACCACTCCGGATCTAGGAATGACTGACGTGTCTTGCATGGATGTAGTCATGGGGGTGGCCCCTAAAGAATACCTCTCCCTGCTAGCACTCAAGGACCATGCTACCTGGCGAGAGCTCATGAAGGACCTAGTCGACCTAAAGGCCAAGGACCTCGCCAGGCGCAAGAAGGCGCCCGCTGGAGGTGGGAAACCACAACGCAAGCGGT